TGGTAGGTAGCCTGATTTTATAAGGGATCATTTTGTCTTATAACATTTCCAATGCCAATTCTAGGTTTTTATGGAATAGGGTGAAATAACGCTGACTGAATACATCCAGTTGTGAACCAACTGAATGCCAAACTGAGAAATCAGACTCTTGGTACTGAGTTCAGCTACACCCACTACCGTGCAGTGCACTTGATAAAGCTGCCTGTTTAAATGCCATCCTAGGAATATCTGTACTGGGACCCATGCATATCCACACTCTTTGATTGTAGGTATAGTAGTAGAACAGGAATATAAAATGATTAAAATTTGTTTTTGATTTAAACAAAAATATTTCCTCTTTTCATTAGTAAAACATTCTTTAAAATATATCTATTTCTCCTCTCTGAACATTTAGCCAAGGAGCAATAGGCAATTTTCAAAGGTTTACTGCTGCCTCTTCGATACAATAAGTATGGTTATAAAGAGCACACAGCAACATGAGCTTATTTGCATTCACTGGTAAGAAACTTGTCCTCGTCTCCTGTCCATCAGAGCAAGGTTTGACATTGGTGTGCTTTTTGTTCTCGGTGGGAATCACTCCTGCTTGATTTTCATTCTTGGAAGAAAAATATCATCAGCTGATGTCCTTCGGTTTTATGACATGATGTGAAAAAGGAAAGGGACAGAGATGAGCTGCTCCCATGAAGTCAGTCAGGGTCTGGGCCTCCAGGCAGATCTCCAAGCTTCCTGCCAGTGGAGTGTCTCCAGCTGCACAGGAAGAAGACGGGTAGGGGCGCCCGGGACACAGAACCTTGTCCACAGACAGGTCACTCTCGCTCAGCGGGGCACCCCCTCTGCTTCAGCCACCACCCCTGCTCTCTACCCCTGCGTATTCATCTTTTGTGCTCATGGCTACAGAACTTAAAGAAACCAGTTCACAGGGGAACAAGGAAAAGCAGAGAACTAACTAGACCCAAAGTGGCCTGTGCCACGTGTCTCTGTCTTACGCAGTCTCCTGAGCTCTTGTCATCTGTGGAGGCTGCACACGTTCTTCAGAGCAGAACTCCCCTTTGTTTCTCTTCAAAAGCTTTTGCGACATCAGGTTTTTCCAAACAACTTTATCAGAAGTAGAGTCTGATGTCAGCCAATAAAGATAGAAATTTCAGCCTCCCTCTCTTGAATCTCAAATCTACCTAAAAGAGGAATGTTTTCCCCTGGCAAATGATTACTTACTTTCCTTTTGTTTTGGATCCAACTCAGTCCTCAGAAAATACTTCAAACTAAAAGAGGAGGAAGTGCAGGAGAACGAACTTCCTATTGTGCCTCCCAGAGAACATTCTGCTAAAACCGAGAGCAGCTCCAAGTGCAAAAGTAAATATTTGTGCAAAGGGCACACTTTCAGGTGCAATCTTAAGACAGCCTCAATTGACTCATTTGATAGTATTTGACTCTTTAAAACAGTCTTTTAAATTATGAAAATGGCAAGTAAGGGAAAGGAAGTTAACATCAGAAAATACACTTTAGAAAAAAGTACAGAATACTCTGATGATGATTTGCTACTTATTTCATAACTTAGATCAAGTCAGTGTGTGTTAAATATTCACAGTAGTTCAGAGAAGAAACATTCGTGTCTGTAAATCTTCACTCTAGTGCATTTTCAACCATTTTTCTGTACATTTACAAAATTTCGTCTGTCAGTGCTTTTCTGTAGAATTCCTTATTGTCGATTGAGTCTTTCCCTCTCTGGGTCCGGTTATACCTTCAAGGTGGGCTGCAGGATCCCTTTCTCAATGAGGTGCATCTTCAGGGTTTTGTATATATTTAACTGCTGTTCTGGTTGAAGCACCAACAACTGCTGCAGCACTTTGCTGGGATTCGGGCCCCTGGTAACAGAGCAGAAAGGAAAGTTCTTGCTATTTTAAGAGAGCTGAAGGAAGCATATGCCCACAGTTTAAATGCTGCCTTTCAGTGTAGAGTAGCAATCTTTACAGAACTGAAACAGCTCCTGATCAGAGCACACTCTATGCCCAACGTTAGTGCCAACAGTAAAAAACACACACACACACACAAACAAAAGCAAAAAAAACAAACAATTTTCTGCTGAGAGGTGTGCAATCTCAACATGGCAAGAATGGGCAGTACAAGGGGTACGGATCTGAGCTCTACAAAATTCTCAGAAGGGCAACCGGAGTTAGAGGTGGGGATAGGGACAAATCCCGAGATTGGACAAGGCACAAAAGCTATCCTGTAAGGAAAGGAGCAAAATTCCTGGTGGGAGAGGACATGAAAACAGTGTTTTGCTTGTTAGCTTCAAAGAAATGTCAAACAATGGCAGGCATTTTGTTGAAGAACTACCCAGGGAACCATGAATGTTCAAGAGGCAAGACTCAAAGGTTCTGAGCCCGGCACTGAATTCCTACCCAGCCTCAGCAACAGGGGCCACAGCCTTTGTTCAAAGAGAGTCTTGGGTCCCCAGGCTAAGGAACAGAATGAAAGCGGATCTGCTCCAGTTGAATGGAGGAGAGCCCTGCCTCCTCGCCCACCGCCCTGGCGGTTCCAGGGGGAGGGTGTGAGCCCAGGATGGACTGAAGCAGCAAAGGCCAGTGATACCACGCTCTCCCCACAGCCCGCACAGGGGCCTCTCAGCACTGCCCTGTGGGCGAGCTCCACCAGCATCCCCACTGCAGCCCTTCTCTTCCCCTTCACAATGCGCAGGTCAGAAAGCTCCAGGTCAGGACTGCTGCCCTCGCACCTGTGCTGCTATGACTCTCAGCCAGGGGACTGTAGTCTCCCCTCCTGGGCTCTAGAACTCACCCCCCTTATGCACTGGAGACCACGTGTGATCTTCTAAAGTGCTATTCTGTCAAGTTCCAAGTGAACCTAATTCAGATGTTAATGCATATGCACTGTTCTTTGTAATTTCTACAGTCCACTTGAATAGAAGAGTATGGTTTACTTTTTGTGAAGAGCAGTGAGTAAAATCCAATGGGAAAAAGACATAAGTAATATAAGGAGAATGGTAACCAGAGAGACATTTACACGAGTAATTAAATTTAGGATTTATAATGACTCTTCAGTTCAAATGGAATTATAGGAAGTAGAAATACTCAGATTCACCCATCCTATGGGTCCCCTTTGTGCAAATGCCAAAAACTGCAGCCATAAATTACACAGCCACAGTCTCCTCAAGTCAGGGCACCGCTTGTCTTAGATTTCTTCAAAAGATTCAGCAACTTCATAACATAAACCCAGAGCAGGGCCCGCAGAGAAAAGGAAGGCGTTTCTAGCAAGTTCAGCTAAATGCAAATCTGCCAGCAGGTGCTCCTGGCTAGCTGCATCCTGGCACCAGCACTGTGTTCCAACAGCAAATATTTCAGATGGCAAGCACATGGCTCAGCATGACTCCTCTACTGGGAGAAAAGCACATTCGAAAAAAATTTAAAGTATGAGTTAATGCCCTAAATGCTGCCATCTGCTGCAAAGAAAGAGTTCTGAGGGTTTAGCCACTAATTACTAATTCTCAACTCTATCAGTAAATAAATTACACAAATAGATTGAATATTCCCAATAAAAAGACAAAGACTGTCTACTGGGTTATAAAAAACAAAAACAAAATCCAGCTATCTGCTTGTTAGAAAAGAAAAGAAGCCCTGACTTGCATCAGTGGTTAGTGTGTCTGCCTGTTTACCAAGGGGACTCAAGTTCGATTCCCGGCCAAGGGCATGTACCCGGTTGCAGGTTCCATCTCTGGCCCTGGTCGGGGCATGTACGGGAGGAAGCCAATTGATGTGTCTCTCTCACATTGATGTTTCTCTCTCCCTTCCTCCCTTTCACTCTCTCTCTCAAAAAAAGAGAGAGAGAGAGAGAGAGAGAGAGAGAGAGAGAGAGAGAGAGAGAAAAGAAAACACACTTTTGCTAAAAGGATAAAGGAATGCTAAAAGTAAAAGGAGGGACAAAGAAATTCTGTGCAAACACTAACCAAAGGAGGGCTGATGTAGCTATTCTAATATCCAACAAAATAGGCTTTAAGCAAGAAGTACATAAAGATGGACATTATATAACATTATATAATGCCATTAGGAGTGATTCAACAGGGAGATATGATAACCCTAAATGTGTATATACTTAATACAACCTCAAAATATATAAAGCAACAAATGACAGAATTAAAAAGAGCATTAGGTAAATTTACAATCATGGTGGGAGATTTTGACAAAGCTCTCTCTTTGTAACTGATAGAATAAGTGAACAGAGGAAAAAAAAATCAGTACAGAAGATGCAGAAGATTTAGCTAAACTTCACCCAAATGACGTACACAACATGCCCACCAGAAACTGCAGAAGGCGCATTCACTTCGTATGCGCACGGGACGTGTACCTGAATAGACAATACACTGAGGCATAAAGCAAGTCTCAACAAATGTTAAATATTGAAATAATAAACAGTATGTTTTCTGACCATAGTGGAATTAAAGCAAAATCAATAAAGGAAGGAGAATGAGAAAATCTCCATTTGTTTGGAAAACGAATCAGTACACCTATAAATAATCCACTGGTCAAAGACGATATAATATTGGAAATCAGAAAACATTTGTGATGGAGTAATGAAAATAAAAATATAACATATAGGATGAGAACTTAAGCAGTACTTAAAAGGAGATTTGTAATCTTAGGTGAATATATTAGACTAGTAGGCTGAAAATCAATAATGTAATCTTTATCTCAAGAAGCTTAAGAATAGCAAATTAAACCTAAAGAAAGATAAAGGATGAGAATAAACGGCAATGAAATAGAAAACAAAGTTAACAATGCTAGTTTGAGTCTTTGAAAAGATTAATGAGATAGATAAACTAACAAGATTACTCAGGAAAAACATAAATTCCTAACAAGATAACACAAGGAAAATAAGTGCTAATAAAAAATTCTCATGCTGCTATGGGTATATATTTAAAATGGGTATGTAATTAGGAACCTATAAATATGAGTTTCAACTTCAAATAACTCTATGAAGGAAATACATGTTTTCTATAGCTTACCCACTAGGAGAGACCACGGAAAATAAGGCTAACATGTGGGGTAGGTTTCACACCCCAAATGGGCATTTTGAGGCAGAACCAAAACATTAAGGTTTAAAAAGAAGAATAAGCCACCTTATATAAAACAGCAACACCCTCCACTCACCCCACCCCACACAACCACTCACCCCTGGCTTGTTTTATTTTTCTCTGTGGCACTTATAACCACCTAAACGAGCTATATTTATTTGTTTACTGTCCACTTCTGCCCCTTCTCCCTCCAACTCCCCAGTAAGAATGCAAACTCTGAGGCAGGGACTTGGTTTGTTTTCTTCTCAGCTACATTCGTACCAAGAACATTTCCCAACATGTAACAATAACTGGTAAACTGGATGAATTATGTCCTCCTTTGTAATTCTTTGTATTCACTATCATTGCCTTACCCACAACCAAGAAATTAAATCTCTGATGTTCCAATCCAGGACCATCCATACTGAGTGGATTTTAACTTGGCCCTTTAAAGACCACAATATGTACTATTGTTTATTTCAGTTCAAATCTATGTAAACTAATAAAAATGTAAGCACGCTGCTCAGGGGTACGGTGTGACACAGCTCCAGGGGCCGTGCCCTTTGATATTATAGGTTACCACCGACAGAAAAGCAACTCGGTCAAACTAATGCCTATGGAAACGAGAACTTCAAGAAACCAAGTATGAAAACATTTTTTTTTAAATCTAAAAGTACCTTATAAAACTTGTGATGTAGACATGCACAAACGTTGCCATCAAGTACTGACAATCAAATCTGTCCATTATCCCGCCATGTCCAGGAATGGTGTTTGCAAAATCCTTCCAAAACAAACCAAGAGATTAGCCAATTTTCAAAAAAAAATTTGTCATAAAATTCCTATCTAAAGACGTTTCTGGAATCACGGACACTAAGGAAAATAATTTACTATTAGATTGTCACACTAAATACAAACTTAGAACATGTGCAACAGATCAAAACCACATCTTTTGCATATATACCCATGTTAGAACATTACTGAATTGACCAGCAATATAAAAATAATACTCATTAAATATTAGTTAATTCTAGCACTAACTTTTTTTAGTTAAGAAAACTTTTTCCAAATCAAAAGTATCAACTATTACTAGTCTAATATTCTTACAGACTACTTTTCCGATTAAGCAAAACTATTTTGGGAGCTATTTTAGTATTGTTGACCGATGTACACATGGTTCTAACTCATATTTATCCTAATAGTTCTTACTCTGAAATAAACATTCTACTACTATGATAAATATTTTCTTCTTTTTTTAAGTGTTGCGGTAAAAAGAAAATAAAAATAGTTCATTTGGGACACATTAGTCAATTGAATTGCGGGGATGGTTAGTAAGCCTCTGCAAATTGACTGGACAGATATATCCCCATCTCCCAGTGCCTGGAAATGGCTATGACTAATTCCTCTTCTCATTCACTCAGGCAACCTATAAGCATCTAAAATGCAACAGCAATTACAGCCTTTTGGACAGGCAAAAAAATTCTCCGTAGTCAACAGGAAACCCTGGGCTGGAGACTATTAAAGAAAATGCCGTTCCAAATATAACACGTCTCTGTGTAAAACAATTCTTTGGTTAATTTTTGCCAACACATTTCCTTCCATCTCTTCCCTACTAACCGCAGCACAAGACAGCCATGGTAACTCAGTTCTGCTCCGCTGCGTGCAGCCGTCACAGGACACTAGCCATGCACGGCTGCTACGGGTTCTGTGTGGACCAGTGTTATCTCCCATAGTGGGTGCTGAGCATCTTGAGAACAGGGACAACATCGTACACACTTTTGTATATTGCCTCCCACTTAACACACCATCTGCCCCATGGCAAATCCTCACTGAGTCAGTTCATTCCCTGGCTTTGGGGGCCGCCGTGGTCTGACTCCACCAACCGCTGCAATGTGATCAGCCACACACACTATTCAAACAGGCTAAGCGCCTCCCCTTGCACTCGCTGGGGTCTCTTCCTTGGATGTGTCTGCAGGCCTCCTCCTCCTCTTCTCAGATTCCTGCTCAAATGCCACCCCCTCAGAGAGGCCTGCTCTCTCTCACTTCTAATGGCACCATATTCCATCTTAACTTGGTGAAGCCATGAGAGGAGAGCTGAGAGAAGAGGGCAAATGTACAGGGTGTCCCCCAAAAATGCGTACACACTTTGAATAATTACTAATTCCAATGGGTTAAATTTGAAAAGAAGGAAGCATCAATTGCGCCATCAGCTGTTAAATGTGGATACATTTTTGGGGGACACCCTATGTGTCACTTTATGAGAATCTAACTTAAAACATAGAGTGATTTTAAAGGATCTGGGACAGGGATCAGCAAACTATGTCCCACAGATCAAATCCAGCCACTGTTTTTGTAACTTTATTAACTTGATTTACAAAATAAATAACATGCCCACTCATTGACACATCGTCCGCCAGGCTTGCCCACAATGATGGCCAAGTTCAGAGTTGAGTAGTTAGGGTGTGATGAACAACCACAGGATTTTACAGAAGTTAGCTGACTCCTGATCGAGCAGAATGCATGGTTACATATTCAAAGGCTGCCCGGTCTGTCCCTGAAGTGAGACTGTGGCAGGACACTCATCTTCAGACGATTCATGCTGGATTCTTGGCCGAGCACCTGAAGGACCAAGACTCTGTGTTGTCCCCAATTAGGTAACACATGCCATTTCTATAGAAGGGGCTGACATGACATGGCTCGACCAAAACCCAACAAGAAAGAATACACTCAAATCAACCAGGAAGTATTTCTGTGAGGCCTGAAACCAATAGTTTTTGCTCGAGGGCTTAATGTAGGAGACCCATAGAGAACTGAATTTCAACTATATTACATTCTCTGATATTGAAACAAAGAACCTAAACACACACCTTGATTTTGAAAGCTCTTTTGAATCCGCTGGCAAAGAAGCCTCCAAAGGGGCCAATCAAAGATGCAAATGTTGACAGAGCAATGCTGTGGATCTGGAAAGGGTACAAGTTCACTCTTTCCTACGGAGGAAAACAAGAGGCAGGGGTGGGGCTAAAATTGGAGTTGAGCATGTCACCTAAACTAAGAATATGACATAATAATACTTCAAAACATATGCCACATTTTTGTTAATTTCACAAACTTTCAGGCTCATGGGAGAAAAATACACGGTAAGCTCTCCTTATCAGCCTCTCCTAGCCGCACTCTTGTGCCCTCTGCATGCATACTGACAGTGCCTGGCACACCAAAACCTTGCAGCCGACAGGCTACTTTCTAGTTCATCTAGAAATTTCTACAACACTTGAGCTGTAGACTTACCAAGAATCAGCTGAGTTAATTTCGGAATTTGTTTTTTACCAGTAGTACTTTGTTTTTTTGTAGTTATATAATGTATTTTAAATTTTGAATTTTATTTCGCTTTATAACTTTGTATGACAGAGTGAGGGTAAAGCTGGTCTTTCTATTAATAGTAAACTAAATGATGTGGAAACACATGAAAATAAGTTGCTTTAAAAATATACCAAAATGTGCATCCGCAAGACGTTTATAAAAGATTTATGGAGATCATAAAAATTGAGAATTCTGCAAATTCTTTCATAAATTTTAAGTTCTTGTTCCAAATTTCTTTTCTTGCTCTGCTTTAAACTAAAACTACAAACTATACACAGTGCAGAGCTGGTGTGGCTTCACAACCATCATTAAGAGCACCAATCTTAATCAAAGTTTGGCAGTTCAGATCTTTGCAGATTAACAGATGGCTTGGACATTGGAAAAATTCTTGGAATCCATGTATTGAGCACTCAGGAGAGAAATAAATTATTCTCTAAAGTTAAGGACTTTAGTTAAAAAACAACATGGTTCAGATATATGCATGCACATGTGTGTAGACACACAATTATTTGATTCCCCAGTGTAAGTAACCACCTCTGGTTTCGATGGCACATATCAGCAGGTTCTGCTGGACAGCATGGCACAGCCTGCAGTGTAAGACCACGGGTTGCCTTAAATGGCAGGAGTGCACTTCTGGAAGGGAAACTGGTTTTTAGAAGCAGCAGTTTTCTCTGCTAGTAAAGGTCCCCTGAAAAATCAAGGAAACTCTGAGCTGGTGAATTGTAATTAATTTTTAAATTTAGGCAATTCATGCCCTCGCTGGTTTGGCTCAGTAGATAGAGCATCGGCCTGTAGACTGAAAGGTCCAGGCTTCGATTCCAGGCAAGTGCACATGCCTGGGTTGTGCGCTCAATCCCCAGTAGGGGGCATGCTGGAGGCAGCGGATCAATGATTCTCTTCATCACCGCCATCTTGGTTTCTCATCATCAATGATGTTTCTATCTCCCTCTCCCTTCCTCTCTGAAATCAATAAAAATAAATTTAAAAAAATTTAGCCAATTCATGCCAATCACATGTGAAACTTAGTGTAACTCATCCAATTTTCAGAAATCTATGGAATATTTTTCAATGTTTCAAAACAAATACAAGATAAATTATAGCATCAGTATTCAAACCATTAGGCAAGTAAACCCCTAATAAACAATAGGTTTATGAGAGTAATGTTCACTTTATGTTCAAGAAAGGGAGATTACAAAGGGCTAGAATACATTATTGATGCTAAGCAGACAGTGAAACCACTTCTGTATCATAGAAATCAATTTCTTATAAAAATCTTACTCTTTGGGATAGAGGACCTTACCCACATTTATCTTACCCGTCCCAGCACCGCCTTCAGAAAGGGAGGAAGTGAATAACTCTGAAGCTGGAAAAGTTCCGAGGGTTCACATTCTGTAACGAAGGAGTTTACATCGCTTCGGTATTCCACTGGACAGACAAAGTACTGGTACTTGGATAACACGTAGGCAGCCTGAATAACAAAGCAGGAGTTCATGAAACACTGAACGAAAGATTGTGTGTGTGTGTGTGTGTGTGTGTGTTTGTTTGTTTTGTGTCAGCAGAACAGCCAGAGTAGATGCCAAAGTTTCTTTGTATTCACATTCTGCTATGTATTCTCAAAGCTCGATGGTCAAAACTGACCCAATAAAAGACTTTGAAAAGCCATTGGAAAACCAAAGGCCTTTTGGAAATCAAAGAGATTATGTCTATGTGACCACAATAGAAACAAGGAAGGGGAAGGAGAAAAAGAAGCTGATTTAAACATTTAAACAAGCATTTCAATAAGGTTTCACTTTTCTAAAATACACATAATTAATGTTAGCAGAAGCTAGTAATTAAGGTATGGGAGAGTACAGGACTGAAGTTCTTTGAATAATTTCATCAATTAATAAATAACCAGTGATTTAAAATTACCAAAAAAAATACAGATGAAAAACACCATTGTTAACCAACCCAGAAAACTTTGACTAAACTATTCTTTCCTTGACCACAGCACTGTAATTTTAATATAGCTTTTCTCAGTCATGGAAGAAGATACATAAAATGAAATATTTTAAATTGAAATTGTTAGACAACAGTTTATTCTCTTTTCTTTTGCAGCCATTCACCCCATTATACTGCTCAAGAATGATTAAGAGAAGTGCAAATTAACACTAGGAATGTTAATAAACTGATTTTGCTTCTAACCAGTTTCCTCAAAATTATATATTAGAAAATATATAATGTCCCTTTTCATTACTTTTGCCATGCATTACATTCTTACAGGGTAGCTGTTTATTTTCTTCCAATGATATGGCTATTCTTATACTATTTCTAAATTAGTCTTTAATAATACCAAATTCTTATAGTGCTATTTAACTTAGTAATTCCTGCTTCATAATGTATAAACATCAGACAGGATCAGTTCCCTTTCATCATTCTGTTTATGAGTTACTATCTCATCAGTACTCTACAGTATGCAGAGTATACAACATAAACACTGATTGGATTAGTTTTTCCAGATCCTATTGGAATTTTCATTGAGAATGAACTAAACTTGCAGATTAAACAGAGAAATGGTTTTCCCATCCAGGAACCTGATACTTTTCATTTATTTGTATATTTGCTCTCTCTCATGTTGTTTCTAGTCACTGTATATTTGGCTGTGGAATGTATTCTAGAACTGTTAGGGACTACACTTTTAAAAAATTAAACTTCCTAACTATTTTTTAATATATTTACCTTATATCTAGCCATTTTACTATATCTTTACTGCTTCTTATGAGATACCTTTTAATTAAAAAAACCTACATTCCATAACTATAAAGTAATTTTTAAAACATTAACAAGACTCATTATTCATGGCTAAAAGTAAACAATTATTTTTAACAACCTTTTCCTGCATGTTGGGCTCACGGCAGTAAGCACTTGCTGAACCAAGTAGCAGCATGTGTAAGGGAGGCAAGGCTCTTCAACATCATTTGTATTTTCTGCTTTTACTCAAGGCCACCACCTGTCCCAGAACCTGTGTCCCAACAAGGCAGAACAGCTGTTCGAAACTGCCAAACACAACAGAGGGCCTCAAGGCCTTCACGTACACGAGGGGGGAGTTGGCCTGGTATGGGGCTGGGACATAGATGTTGAATAAGCTCCCCAGGTGATACCAATATGAAGCCAGGATGAGAGCTACTGGGGTACAGAATAGATTATGCCTGGTGGGTTTCAATAAATACAGTATTAGCACTTCGCAGTTTAATTCTTTTAGGTTTAGGATAGACTGATACACTTGCTACCATTTTTCAAAATAGAAATAAAATAAAAATCTTAGTAAAACTCACAATGAATCCAAACACGACTGTGGAAAAGAAACCGCCAATAAATCCTTCCCAAGTCTTTTTAGGAGATAGCTAGAAAAGGCCAAATAAAATAAAAAAGAATTACTGTACTCCCAAAACACACAATACATATGCAAGCTCTGTTTGATGAATTCCCATACATCTCTCCTTGGAATGGCTTCTTTTCCCTTCATTCCATGATCCCAATTTATTTGTGCAAATTTCTCTAGTAGTATGTAACATATATTGGGCCCTCAAACATTGGACACACACCAAAAATAGGTGAGCATAACTAAACATGGACATCGCAGCACACCAGATTCCCACGTATTCCCAAAAGGCCATGCAAATGGCAAAATGGTCCACAGCCCCAGATATAGTATTTACTCCCCAAGTATTCACGTATCCTTCTCTCTCGGTCACAACCTTGTCTGTCTCCATGAAGAAAGGACCATGCTGTGCTTCTACGAACAGATACTGTTTGTTTCAGATTAGAGCTACTGCTTCCCAGCCCACGAGGCGCTCAGGGGGAGGAATGTGGAAGTCGGTGGTGCAGGAGGGGAGATTCAGGAGGGGCCTGCGTTAACTGCCTGAGCTGCCCTGCAAAGGAGGGACTGATGTTTGGGGCGCTGTCATCAGGTCACTGATGGCTTCTGTGATGATCCTTTCAGTGGAACAGCAGGGACAGGAGCCAACAAATATCCCAGGGAAGCTTCTGCAGACGGAAACGGGTGATAGCTAAGCTGCACGGGCTGTTTACGGGCCTCTTGTTGTGATGGTCACAAAGCTCAAAGCCAAGAGGGTTGGCACAAATAACCGGTTTCTTGACCTATCTGACAATAGCGAAGGGGCAGATGTCTACCTTCTCGTAGGATAATTCAGTATTATCATCATGCAGTGGGAGTTGACTCAAATTCAAAAGTGCCTGCTGATTAGTTCAAAGATAGCCACAAAATTGAATTGTTCCACAGCATATTGACTTCGGGGTGAACTTAATTCCATCTGCATATATGATGCAACTAATCCAGCCCAGGAAGCTCACTAGCACTCGTTCTAAGTCAGACAGTGAATCTTCTGCAGGCGTACAGCCTCTCTGAAGACGTCCTCAGCCCAACACTTCTAGCTGGTCCAGGAGCCTTGAACACTTAATCCCTTGCCCGTGTGCTGAACAGCTTTAGAAATGTGAGGAAAATACATGGCTTGCTTGTATCCCTACGGCTCAGCCTGACACCCTGTGTTGGACCGCTGCTCTGTGGGGGAGAATTTATGGAGGGTTTTAAAGGCCAAGGTCTGCTCTTCCATGAAGAACTGCTTTGTTTCTTTTTTCCTCAACACGGGAACTTATAACTTAATTCATTTCCTTCTTTGCCTCCACTGACTGTAAAGAGAAGCAGCTCTAAGGCAAAACGACGCGGCCTGCTCTCGCGTCCATTCCTTTCCCTTATTCTAACCTTTCCTCATGACTTACATTATCAGGGTTTTATTTAGGGCCTCAATTTTTTTTTTTTTAGTTTGGGTGTAAAAGTCTTACAATGGACATGAGTATGTGAAGATGGTGTAATGAACACTTTCAAAAAGTTTGGTGAAGGAGGGGCGGGTCAGACAGCTGGGGGAGCAGAGGCAAGGAGAACCACATCACTGAGAGAAGAAACCAGCAAGAAGGAGAAATGAGCCTTCATGGGAGAACGGATAACCGATGGTGTCGGGCCCTCAGTGAGGAGCCAACAGAACAGTTAAAGAACCAGACAGCACCCTCAGGCAACATGCTCGCTGCCCTGAGTGCAGCCAAGGAGGACCGAAGGCCCTTGGAAATCAAAAAAGAAAAACAAACAAACAAAAGAAATAAAAAAATGGGCAACAGCACTAAGTCCCCAGTGGCTAATCTTTAAGATTAGGGTAGTGGCTTGTGACATTTTATAATTACCTTAATTAATGGAGTTCTCCCAAAGAAAAATCCAAAAAGGTAAGCAGTTATGTCATTGCAGATAACACTTGATATTGGAACAAGGAACCTTAAAAAAAAAAAAGTCAGCAAAAACAAGTTCATATGATTAAGTGACAAGTATTTTATACAGCTTATGACTCACAAGGAATCAATATAATAACTCTTTGAATTACCCTTCAGACTAGTCCAGAACATAACACTTGCCGAAACATTATTAGAAACATTAAATATTAACCACATTTGCCTGCTTAGCAATTAAGCAGATCAAAATCTATAAATAAATTAACATAGTGGGAAAATATTGCTAAGGAATATACTAAATAATCAATTTAATTTTAATATAAAATAATGAATTTCTATAGCTATGGATTTTCAAATTTCATTTTTATGAGGAACAAATTATAATAGTATAAACATTTTTTAAAAATATTTTCAGAGAGGAAGGGAGAGGAGAGAGAAATAGGGATGAGAAAAAGTTTTTTAAAAAGCCACCTTTCAAAATGGAATGAGTCATTTGGTTTAGAGTATAATCTGATAAATTTATACTAAGCTCTTAATACAAATTGTCTTACAGGAAAAATTATCAATTTTAATTCTATCTTAGCCTAAAATTGCATTAAACCCTACTAATTATACAGAACCTATTAATTTCATAACTTCTTCCAGCAATTAAAAGTTTGTATATGGAAGACAATCTTAAAATGATTGTCACCAACACATAACACCAACCCCTTGGCTAAAAATCATGAAGCTGTCATGGGAATAATTTATTTTCACAAAACCACCTGTAAAGGATTTTAATTAATGAGTGCTTTTTTAAATGTGGGGAAATTATGGTCAGATTTCTTAAAATCTTTTTTCTCCACTCTATTTTTAACTAATAATTTTTATAATTTTAAGCTAATACTATTTTATTTTTATTATTTTATTTTTGAAAAATATTTATTGTTGAAAGTATTACATATGTCCCCATCCCCCCCGCCCCCCTTGAAACTAATTTTTAACTTACAAAAATGCTTTCTGAATGGGCAAGCCACTGCTATATAGCGAGTAATTTCATACATTTGAAATCCGGACGCCTGCTCCTATACATGGGCAGGGTATGTACCACTTTCACTAGAGAAAGTGCTTTGCCAGCACAATGTTGGCAAGCAAACTTTCACGTTCTTTCTGCATCCCATGTAAATAATATGCTCCTTTTAAGAGCGATGCTTTGTAAAAAGTCACATTCAAATAGTAGTCAAGCCTGAAAGTGTAATTAACTGTTTGAAACTTTTATAAGGACTTTATTTTATTTGGAATCTGAATAAGGAATATGCCCAGCTAACATGTTTGTCTTCAGGTGTCAAATAGTAAAATCAACAAAACTCAGTAAGGTATTTTAATGGAATAGAGCAACAACAAATAGTACATTTTAGTAGAAGTTTGTGAGACACTGTTCAATGTGAAAGCGCTTTAAAAATGCTATGACATAAGTATAAAGCAGCATAATTCTGAGCCCTTACCATATCATGCCTTCAAACAGATTTTGGATGACAAGATGTGACTGAGTAACTGTTATCAGTAAAGTGACATGAGTCCATGCGAACTGTTAATAGCCCAACAACACAACAGTTAGTGAACACAACTGATCAGTGCAGCCAGGAAGCAAGAGTAACTTTGAAACACACAATTCTAGCATGGTTTTCTTGTTAAATTTTGTAAGAGAAGGTTATACAAAATAAACGTCGTTAGCAAATTATATTCATTTTGGTGCCTACTGGAACCTTAAAACCATGAAAACATTTTTAAAAAGTAATCTTAATATACAAATGGATTGCTTATTATACTGAGCTAAATTTATAACCATATAAAGAATAAACCATAGTCTCGAACCATCGGCTTACAATGATAATAAGAAACGTATGGTGTTGTTATGACACTTAGAGAGGAACATTTTACTCCAGCTGCGTTCTGCAGTTATTAAACCTGCTAAACTCTATTTCTTTTTTCAGAGTTCACTATGGTAACTTTTTCCCATAAGAGTTATTTCTAAATTCAAATGATTCAAACCAGGAGAGATCAACTGCCCTTGAATCCACCTTTTCATACTTGGAAGTTGATCGTCACAGCTCTGTTCAACGGCAGGAGTCAATTTCAATTTCCAAAGGCCTCTGTGTCTCAGTTCCATCCAGCCTGAGAGGTGGCCGTTAGGGACTTTTAGCATCATCAGTATGAGTCGAATATGAATGAAAAAAAAAGCTCATGTTTCTAGTGTCGTAATTTTGATTGGAATTTATTACTCTTCAAAATTCTTAGATTTTGATTTATTCATAATAAACCTATTTTCTATTTCAACAAATATTATATTGTGGCTTTGTTTTATTTTATTTTTATCTGCTTAAAAGATCCAATTCTCTTTTACCCTGGTTGCTTAAAAATGCATAAATGATTTTTTTTCCAATAGGCACCATTTATATTTTCATAGATCCTATTATTTCTAATTTGTCTTGACGGTTTCTAGATTTTTCATTGAGAATTTTACTCTTTCCCTCTCAAGGTCTCCAGAAATTAGAAATGTAAGAAATACTACAATTTCTCAGCACTAATGCTCAGCAGGAGGTCTTAATGGAGAAAAGCAAAGCATAAAGAATAGAAAATATATCCCAAATCCAAAACAAGACGAATACATAATTTTACAGATTTAAATATTATGTTTTTCATTTTAAGTCTTATAATTAGCTACCTTTTAAGAAAATAAGAAAAGTTCATCATACACAGTGATACATTTCATAAAACACTGAACACTGTTCAACGCTAAACTGAATAAAATACCTTAGGCTAAAAAGAATTATGAAATTTTATGACTAACCATAGCTACCAAGAAAATACATGCTTTGGTCCCTTTATACTCAACGAAGAGCAAGTTTCCATAGAGAAATAGGGTAAATATACTTAGCTTCTCAGACTAACTATTCAGAAATCTATGGAAATGTTTCAAATTTCTACCAATTTAGGGAATCCAAATACTTGGTTTTAACTTTATAGCCTTTGAGCATATTTAAAGAAAAAGTTTTTAGAAAATTTTGAAAATGGTTAAAATTTTTAAATCCTCAAAAATGTTTCAACTTCAACCTTTTGTATTTAATAGTCATCCCAAAATGGAAATTTAGGCCTCAAGGAGCAGATTACATTTTATCTTCTCACTACAGAAAAATAATTAAAGGTACGGGTTTCTATGATGTACAGTGACTACGGAACCATGATTAGTACATACCATGTAAAACTGCAGTCGATAATGTTTCTTCACCAAGCTCAGCACAAACATGCAGAAACCTGCTCAAGAACAAAGACCATGTGCTTGTTGTGCAATTGGTTACCAAGTGTAAGATTCGCTGAGTTCAAACAAGCCAATCTTCTACACCACACCTGTATACTCTATCCACTTACTCATCTGGCATGTCTCCTACTCTTATATTAAGTATTTTAAGTAAAGGTTTCCTGCTGGAAATGATCTTGTAGTCTCCAAAACGCCTAATACATTCCAATGCACACATTCAATAAATATCCCCGAAGTTAGTTAAGTGAATTCATCTCTTGCTAATAGGTGGACATGGAAAACCAGATCTTAAATTTCAGTTGAATAAAATTAATTTGCTATGTCAGTCTACCAAGTGTATGTACAGAATGCTTCAATAATGTAGAATTGAATGCTCTGCATAATGTAAAAATTAAAAATAATTACGATGGTGGCTAAAATCTATTGAATACTTGTTATGTTCCAGGCTCTTGTTAAGTATTTTACCAGTATTAACTCATTTAATCCTTCCAACATCCCTATGACATAGGTACCTTTTATTATGTCAGTTTTACAGATGAAGGAAAATGGGCAAAGGACTTCATTAATTTACTAAGTATCACCGGGCTAAAAAGCATTAAACCCTCAGATCCTAATAATCCTCAAGAATCTGTGGTTCCACAAATCATTATCAGCAAGACTCAGGTTAAGAGTGACTTGAAATTTCTCAGAACCATATGATAATAATTACAGTAAAATATAATGTTCTCAAATAAGATTTACAAACAGCACTAGTGTTTATGTTTATAGTCTACAAATTTATTACCATGAAGTTTTACTAAATAAAAATTCTACCTAATTAACTGAAATCTAACATATACCAAAATAATGGGGAAATCAATCTATATCTATCTATAGATCTATATCTATATCTATATCTATACCTATACCTATGCATATACATATCCATATTAGGAGAAATAAAGGGGAAAAACACATTAAAAAGTCCAAAAGATGAAATAGAGGGAATTTCAGAAAAGTGGACAATCAAAAATTATTTATTGAGCACTTAAGATGTACCAGACACAAGATACAAAAATTGAATAAGATAGGCATTCCAAGGAGCTCATAACCTAGCTGAAGAGACAGAAAGTATATAGCAATAATAAAGTTTTAAAAATTTACTATTGGTGATTAACCAATTCAGTAAACACATGTAGTCCTGAATTTAAAAAACAGACAGTAAAATAGACCCAGGACTAAATAATGGAGCTTACTGACTCATCCCTCATTCTTTCATGTGGCTGTACTTTTCACTACCCTTACATAACTAATCAAAACACCAAAATGTTTCAAACATCCTTTTAAATAAATTCAGAAGCACACAGCATTGTGTGCCCATAGTCAGACACCAGATTACATCTGAGCTATTTAAAAATGGTTTTAAGTGATTATGCATTGTAGAAACTGTCATGAAAACCAACTTGATTAGCTAAGATTAAAGTTTTCTATCAATCTTCATGGTGAGTTTAAGGTGTAGAATAGTAGCATGGGTATAGTTTTTAACGGTCATTAATTCAAAAGTGACAAGTGGTTTTGTAGATACAATCCTTTGTGAATAGTTATTTGTGACATCTTTCTAAAGAATTCATCAACATCCTTTAAGATAAAAGATATTCAGGACGTCTGGAGAAAAATTATTAATTATGCATCAATTTTTGCTATATGTAATTTTATATGTCCATCAGTTTTCTTGAATTCAAAATGTCACATTAAAGTCTCAAGGGTTTTTAAAAGGAAATCAAAAGAGTTATGTGCCCGGCCAGAATGGCTCAGTGGTTGAGTGTCGACCTATGAACCTGGAGATCACAGTTCAATTCCCAGTCAGAGCACATGCCTGGGTTGCAGGCTTGGTCCCCGGGGGGGTGGGGGGGGCATGTGGGAGGCAGCTGGTCAATGATTCTCTCTCATTATTGATGTTTCTATCTCTTTCTCCCTCTCCCTTTCTCTTTGAAATCAATAAAAATATTTAAAGAAAAAGGAAAGAGTTACCATGCATAAATACAAAGCCCCCCCCCCCCAAAATCACCAGTTGGCTGAAGAAGATGGTAATGAATATTAGGTGTAAACAACTTAAGCTTTATTCACCCATCACTACTAGACATGTAATCACATGGCTGCTCTGTTTTCTAGAGAGCCCTGAATCCAAATCACAAAGATCTTTAATTAATATACTAGTATTAGACTCTAGAGAAAATGTTTGTTCTATTACTTTTAGTCTTACTGATTTTTTCTTGCTATCAGTTAAATTCATTTTACAACAAAATTATCTAAATGTCAGAATGATTTCCAGGTCCTAGTCAGAGAGTCATTTTGTATGATATTAAACAAGTCATTTAATTTCGAGGGCCGTGGTGAGGAGGTCAGACCAGAGATACCTACATTTTATTTTAATAAAATTCAATGTCAATGAAATAGCTTTGGCTGTCTCTGCTTTTTAAGTTTGCTAAGACCTATACTTTCCAAAGTCAGAACTAAAATTTTCACAAGACCTTGGAATATTGTTCAACAAAAAGATTTCATAGTGCCCCGCTGATGTGGTTCATTGGTTAAGCATTGACCTATGAACTAGGAGGTCACGGTTCAATTCCAGGTCAGGGTACACGCCTTGGTTGTGGGCTCAATCCCCACTGGAGGATGTGCAAGAGGCAGCAGATCGATGATTCACTCTCATCATTGATCTCTCTCTCTCTCTCTCTCTCTCTCTCTCTCTTTCTCTCTGTCTCTCTTTCCCTTCCTCTCTGAAATCACTAAAATCATATTTTAAAAAAATATTTCACAGCATAATTTAAGAGAAAGATGGAACGTTCTCAGCATAGAATACTTTCTATTTTCTCGCTCCTGTTCTGAAGTCTAACTCCATTTGGTAGAGTGAGCTCACAATGTTGCTAACCACTTCAGCAATCACCAGTAGAGCCTCAACACTCAGCAAACGAAGCACTGATGCTGAGGAAGCACCCTTAGGAAGCACTGTGTGGATGTGCATGTTCTCTGCCTCTTGATCATTCACCCAACAATACACACTGGGAACCCCAACTCCAGACCCCATGCTAAGCCTGGGAGTTAAAACACAATTGAGATGCAAATTGGTGCTTATGGTCTTATAGGACCATATTTAGACCACACATAAAATAGTAGATATAGAAGACTATGGGGGATTTGTATTGGAAGTTTTGTCATTTAACCCAGTAGCTCCTAGTTTACTACAAGGTTGTGTTTTAAAAGTACAGTTGTAGGACTGTAATAACATCAATATCCAGGTATGATATATTGTAATTTTGCAAAATATTACATTGGTGGAAACTGGGCAAAGTATAAGGAATATCTCTATTATTCCTTACGACCGCATATAAAGACACAATCATCTCAACAAAGAGTACATCTTGAACCAATAATGGGGGACACAGAAGAAATTTTTCATGGACTTCCATAAATAGCTGTGAGTTTCTAAGGTCAGCCTACAGTGTTTTATTTACTTTATGACCTTCTTAGTATTAAATACAAACCTAAATGGCTCAGGTCCTCATTCTATTTAGTAGGAATTACAGCAGCAGTTTCCTATCTAGTCGCCCTGTTAATGTCTCTCAACTCATCTTTCATTTCATTAAAAATCTGGTCATATCATCTCTTAGCGTAAAATCCCAATGGTTTCCAAACCCTTCCCACAATACACACAGCTTCTCAAGGTGTGGTTCCTGCCCACCTGTCCAACTTTTAATGCCTGCCACCAGCCCAGGACATGTGTCGCTCTCTCATTTCCAAGCCTGCAATGCCCTTCCCGTTACCCACCCGGCAGATGCCTGCTTGTTGTTACTTTTCATGACACCTGAAATCTCTTCTCAAAGGCCTTCTGTAGCCTTTCCATCCCCAGCAGAGCAAGGCCCTCCTTGCCCTCCTGTCTGCTTAGAGATCCTGGCTCATGTTTCAGCAATAAACTTGGGGACGCATGTCCCACCAATTTCAAGACCCTGGAAGGCACACTGTCGGCCACACTGCCCTGTCTCCGCACCATCCACAGTGCCGAGCATCTGGCAAGCACTCAAATGCTTGTTGGAAGAATGACACTGACTTTCAATGAGCTCCTGTGAGTCCACGAGCCTAAACTGCACTATTTCTCCGACAGAAATCAGTCAGAAAAGAGGAAGGAATATTGGTTTTATTTTATAAAGTTGAGTTGGAAAACAGTGTATGAAGCAAGCAAACACTACAAAGGTTGGCTGGGAGGCTGTCATGTATAAAATGTATAAAAAGAAACAATAAAGAAAACAAATTACATCTTCGTTACCACTCAATTGAGAAGTTATTCTCAAGTATAAGAGAGAGCAAGCCTCAAAGGGAAAGTAAGCTGGGGAAACGGTGGTCACTGTACTTTCTGACATTCTGCCCAGCAGATACCGCTGTCTGCACATCAATATAGATGCTACTGCAGGTATGGAAAACGTGAGATCGATTCCGATGTCCCAATGTAAAACCACCCATGAGCTACATCAAGTGGAAAAAAGCAGGTACAGACTAGTCTGCTCTCACTTGTATTAAAAAAAGAAATGAGGGGGAATGGAAGATACAGACATATAAGCTCGAACGTGCAAAAAATGTCTGCAATAGCTGTCGTGAGCCCCTAGAGACAGTAAGGCAGGCTCCGAGGTAGGAGGGAGGTTTCACTGAATACTGCTTTTTAGTCTGTTTACTATGGGCATGTATCATGCTTCCATTTTTGGAAACCAGTTTAAAAAACACACCTAATTAAGGACTCTTGAGACACTGGCTTTTGGTGCAGTCACTCCCTATTCAGAACCCATCCGTGGCACTCAGAGACAGCCAAGCCCCATGGAGAGGCCAAAAGTAGGGGCTCAAGTCAACAGCCAGCACTGACTGTGGCCCTGAGAGCGAGCCATCTCGGATGTCCAGCCACTCAAGACTTAAATGACTAGCACTGCCTCATCTGATGCCTCCCCGGGAGAGGTCCTCCGTCAGAACTGCCCACTGAGGCCCAGTCAGCCCCGGATCCATCAGAGAAAACACTAAATTCTTTAAAGCCAAAATAAAAAATATAAAACTAGTTAGGATTTCTGTCTTAAAATGGCAAGTTGACAGCATGCATTTATTTCCATTCTGCCCCAGTAGCCTAACTAAAATAATGTTTAGGCAAAAACCCACAGAGAAAGAAAACAATGAAGAAAATAAAACCCAGAGAGCAAAGAGAACTGAAGAAATGTCAAGGAAAACAGAGGAGAAATGGCTGCAAAATGTTGGAAGCTGGAAAAGAGATTGGATAACTTTTAGCAAACCTAACAAATAAGGGACGGCCAACAGTATCTTCTAGAGAAAAGTGTCCAGAAAAGGCTCAGTGGAAGGCAAGAGTGAGGCCTGGGCTTCTAAACTAGAGTATTAAGTAAAAGTCGACTAATAATAAGCGGGAGCCTTGGCCAAAGCAGTCAACTGTACGAACAGGATAAATATATATATTTTTTAAAATATATTTTTTTTATTTCAGAGAGGAGAGATAGAAACATCAATGATGAGAATCACTGATCAGCTGCCTCCTGCATGCCCCACACTAGGGATGGAGCCTGCAATCCAGGCATGTGCTCTGACCAGGAATCAAACTGTGACCTCCAGTTCATAGGTTGACACTCAACCACTGAGCCACACTGGCCAGGTGAATAAAAATATTTGTAGACCTTTACCTTCTAAGAACATTTCATAGGAAACTATTGGAGACCATGCTTACAACAAAATGAGGGTGCAAACCCAGAAACTGGAGGGCATGGAAGAGAAGAAATGAGGAGGCCAAATCATGCTGGTACGCTGTAGGCCTACCAGCAGCCAGTCCAATGGTAATACCACCGAAGTCTCTGGAACAGGGGTCTCCAGGAAAAGAGAGAACTGACCCGCTACTGATTTGTGTGAACATTTGAAAAAGCTACCAACAGACATAGCACAGACCTGAAGGAAAAATTAAGGATTGCTACCTAGAACTTTACAAATGTGGAGGAAAGGAGAAGCAGTTACTAAGCTCAAGAAAAACAAACTGTCATAAAAGAATGAAAATGTAATCGTAGATACTTTATATTTTAGACACCCACTTAATGATGTAAATCTGACTTTTAGAAAGTACATAGCTAAATCAATTTCTTAAAAATTTGTATATGTTTGGGAAACTTTAATGAAAAATAAATATATAATCCTAATTTTATCCTAAGTATCTGATTCTTAATCTAAAATAAAAAATATGTGGCACAGCATACTATAAATCAATATATATATATATATATATATATATATAATATATAAATATATAAATATATATATAAATATATATATTGTGAATATGTAATGAGCCATTTCTATATTAATCATATAGACTGATTAAGTCTATATGAAAACTCTATTACCTAGAACAAATAAAGCAATATAAATGTGAAGGTTTCTTTGTAAATTATACCTGGTTATATCAATCCATATACTTAAAAGTTTCTTTACTACAATTTGCAAAGAAATTTTCAAATATACGGAGTGACTATTAAATAAGTACTTTTTAAAACCACCATTAAAATATAATTTCTATTTAAGAGCCTACTGAGAAAGAATAGCTTTTCACATGGGACAACTAAAAAAAGAAGCTGGATTAAAATGTAACAAAGAAAGGATGTTATGAATTTAAATAGTAAAAATAAAAATAAACATGTAAAATCTGTTATCTACATATTGATACAGAATATTTTCCTTAACTTACCTGCCAGATAGAGGGCAAATGATATAAATCTATGGTAGCGAATGAGGAACTGAAGTTGCTCTTCTCTTTGAACAAATGTAGCAAAATAATCAGCTACAGTCTCTCCATAGAAAAAGTAGTTCACACAGAGTAGGAAGTACCTGTAATTTAAAAATAATTAGCTTTTTATATTTGAAGCTTCTTTAGGCCCCTCAAATTCCAGAAACAATATTAGGAAACAATATGAAAAATACTTTCAATCTCACAATATAGAAAATACTTGCAATCTCTCTCTCCCCGCTCCCCCCCCCCCTCATACACACACAGCTCTAATGCTTTTTATAGTAGAGATCCTAAGCCAAATTTCCACCTGCCCCGCACATGTTGGCGTCTTTCTCTCCTCCATGCTTCCGATGGCCTCCTGTTGAGCAGTGATTTTTAAGGGGCAGCAGAGGGGATAGGAGCTAGCAGCAGTAAAAATCTCCAGCAGAACCTTTTAAAAATCATATAAACCACCTGTCCTTCCTCCAAGCTCTGGTATATCTTTTCCCTGAGGGAAAGGTGGAACCCGTGAGATTTTGCTAATGGGAGCCAGGAACAAGGCTGAGAAACACCGCCCTAGGTTCCTAGTGCCATGTGCTTTAAACGGCAGAGCCCCAGGTAGCCAGGAGAGCGGAAAAGGAAAGGGGTGGCTTCGCTCTGGACCTCATGGAGGGAATTATGCCCCACTGTTTTCAAAGGGCAAGTATTCTCATTTCTATCCGCTGTGCTACCGTTTTTCTATCCTCCTACGCTGGAAACTGTCTTGGACTCTTCTGTAAGGCTATCACAGCCCACTCTAGCCCACCAGTACATTTTGCCCACTATCTATACTAATAAAAGGGTAATATGCTAATTAGACCGGATGTCCTTCCAGACAAAGCCATGGTGGCAGGGGCCGAGGCAGAGGCTGTTAGGGGTGGCCAGTCTGGCAGGGGACAGTTAGGGGGTGACCAGGCCGGCAGGGTGGCAGTTAGGGGGCAATCAGGCCGGCAAGCAGAGGCAGTTAGGGGCGATCAGGCAGGCAGGCAGAGGCAGTTAGGGGCGATCAGGCAGGCAGGCAGAGTGGTTAGGGGTGATCAGGCAGGCAGGCGAGCAGTTAGGAGCCAGCAGTACTGGATTGCAAGAGAGATGTCCGACTGCCGGGAAATAAGGCTAACATGTGATATTTTAACAGTAGTGTTGGAATGGGAGAATTGAAGGTGATTTTCTTCTTTTCAAAATTCAGTTGCAATTTTTTAATTTATCTTTCTCCAAAATCAATCTATAAGATCAACTATATGGATACTGACCGATCAGAATGCCTCTCTTACCCACTTGAGAAAAGAGTCAGATTTTCTTTATCTTTAATTAAGAGTTAGATTTTCATATCAAAAGGTTTTAAGTCACTTACCAGCTGAGTGTTCTAAACCATGGCAGCTCGTAGGAACGATAGACTCTGTAACCTATAGTGATAATTTCATGGAAGCATTTCACTTGGATGCCTAGAACCTGAAACCAAGAGAAAACACTGACATACATTTCTTGATGTTTATATTTAGTAAGTAGCTTGTGGTCACATGTATTTGAGCCTATCCATTTTTTATTATTCTAAATGTCAGTAGCAAAAGTTCAATATTCAACATCTCTAAACTCCAGTTTAGAAGGTCAGTAAAACAAGGTTTTAAACAGAGATCCTTCCTGGGGTGGGCGGTGGCAGTGTAGTTTCAATTTGAGGGATGTGATCTGGTTGGTCACAGGTAACTAGATCAGGGCATGTGTCTGGTTGTGGGCTCCATCCCCAAGTGTGGGGCATGCAGGAGGCAGCGGATCAATGATTTTCTCTCATCCTTGATGTCTCGATCTCTCCCTCTTCCTTCCTCTCTGAAATCAACAAAAAATATGTTTTAAAAAAAGTTATTGGGCTCCCTCAGCCATCTAAGAAATTATTATGCCAAACTATTATGAATAGTTCTTTTAGGAAAAAGTTGTAAATCTGTGTTATAAAGACAAGAGGAAACTGAAATACTGTCCTTCAAATAACCTTTGTACATAACACCCAATGTCATTTTTAGACACAAAAAAATCACAGAATGGGGACAATGCTAGATGTTACGATAAAATGGCAAAGTTGTGCTATTTATAGAACCAAAGGCTTTTAAAATACCAAAGGCACTGATGCAATGTTTATGAACACATTTGCTCAAGAACCATTAGCACTGTATATGTGGTATTTTACTGAGAGGAGAAAAAAGTACTTTTATAGCACACACACATATTTATATGATCGCTAATCACAGCTTGCAAGTAGAATGAATATGGAACTGCTGGGAAAGAGAAAACAGGACTCAAGCATTTGAGTTAATATATACGTATGTGTATCTTCCAGGGCTGGGTGATTACACAGAAACTGATACTCCACGCAATCAATATCAACAGCAATGCACTTTGGTAGGACTCCATTGGCCCAATTACTGTGTTAAGAACCTTAAAACAACAACCTTTATGTAAATGCCTATTCTGCTAGTTACTGACATAGGATATCTGTTCTCAGAGAGGCATTTTCTGTCAGGGAGGACATATAACTACTAATACCATGTGGAAATAGTTACAAGGATATAAATAAGCACAGGCAGACAAACAAAAAAACTGTGGAAGAGGGTGGGGGAGAGCCACAATCAGGGCAAAGGAGGAGGAAATAGAGTTATGTATGTAAGAGAGGACAAGGCATGTGGTTCTCAGAGTTGCTGGAACACTGAGGTGGGGGGTGATAAACCGGGTCCCAGAACCATAGGAAATAGCACAAAGGAGGCTGTGCTGGTTGTGAAAGTACGTGATCAGACGGGAGGGTCTGAAGATAACAGAGGCAGCACAGGTAGAGACAGTAAGGCAGGCAGGACACCACCATCCGGATGAGTGTGGGTGAACATCTACCTGGGATGGTGGCAGAATGGATTGCAAGAATAACACACATCGAGGGGTAGAACTAAAAGGATTTGGAGGTTGAAGAAATTGGAGGGGCCAAGGGAAAGAGGGGAACGCAGAGTAATACTAGGCAAGGCTTGGGAAACTAATTTATGCAGAATGGCTGGGGTTGGAATAGAAGTTGAGATCTGCATATGTTCAGTCTGAACTATGGTACCTGTGGGTTACCCAACTAAAAGTGTCTATTCTCACTTTGGGAATCTATTCAAAGAAAATAATTCTGCATATGTTCTGCAATAATTCTGCAATATGTCTAACAGTGTTATTCACAAAAAAGAAAAACCAGAATATAACCTGCATGTCTAAAAATAACACAATGGTTTAATGACTTATGAGGCACTCCATTCCATGGAGTAGATGAATGTATTAAACCGATGGTTGTAAAACTGGAGCAACACAAAATGCTTGAGAAGATATTTGGTTTCCATGGTTTTTAAAAACATAAAAGAAAAAAGGATTAAAGGAAGCATATCAAATGGCAGTATTAACTAGGTTTTGGTGGTTAATGATTGGGTTGGGTGATTTTTAAAATTATCTACTTTCCAAAGTAATTTTAATATACTTTTATACCTTTTACAATGGAGAAAAAAATTAAACACTATTAAAAGTAAATTATATACTGTAGATTAAAAGAATTACTATAAGAGGTTCCAAGAAGGTGGGCACGGGCGGGGGCGGGACTCCTACAATATCTTCTATATGTGCACACCTGCTTTTAAATCAAAATATGCTTTAGTAAATCCATCATTTGGAAAGTGTGATTCCAAGCTGTGGCTGCAACAATTAAAGTACTATAAATAAAAGTTTGAAGGGAAAAGCTCATTTTAAGGAACATGAGTATGAGTTCCATCTTAAAATAGTAGCTATCATTTCCTAGAAGTTTTAAATAAAATTCTCTTGAATGAGTCATTTTTAAGTGCTGAGATTATTAGGCAAAGGCAAGCTATATACAATGTGTCTGACTCAAAATAAAAATGACCTAGTTAGGGATATGGATGTAAATAAGACTTTAAAGCACATGAAAGCAATTGAGTACCAACAGTGTGTGTATATGTGTATGTCCATTCATATTTCCTTAACATAAACAACATAAATACAGCATATGTATACATACATGTGTACCTGTGTGCAGACGTGTGTGCATGCATATGCAATAAACCTAGATAAGAGCGACAACAGTTCAAATCTACTTTAACTACATCTTTAACATTCTTATATTCTCCTCTGATTAAGCTTACCAAAGAAACAACCTTTCATTGAGGGAAAAAAATGAACCAAAAAGCCTGAGTGCTTTAGGTATGCTTATGATTGTCTTTTTAAAAATCAGAATCCAGGGATGTCTTTAAAGGGGTTTTGAATTTTGTCATAAAAGAGTGGTGAAAAAAACAATTGCTACCAATTCTGGCCCTACTCTCCACACCAAACAGTCTAGTGTGGAGACGATGTCACTTATTCACAGGGAGCTCACGGAGTCAGTGTATCAAGGATGCAAGTGTTTTGCAACGTCTTGATCAAAATTATCTTCTAAAGGAGACGCATAATTCAAATAATCCCCAGTATTTTCAATGGCTCCTCCGTGCTTTACAAATAAACCCCAGACTTCTTCACATAGTATGCCAAGGTCCTCCGGAATCTGATCCCTAATCATTCCTCCAGGTTCAAAGGCCCTGCCTCTAGGAAAGAGCAACACCGCCTTTTCTGACACACCTGGCCGTGAGGACCTTTGCTCACAGCACGAAGGCATCCACCCTGATAGAGCCTCAAGGTCCACCCAAAGGTCCCTCAGACACAAAGCCTTATGGGCTGTCTGCCATCGTCTAATCCCTGCTTCCAGGCTCGACCACTCACCACTGAAAAGCGCTTTGCACTCACTCCTTCAATGCCCAAGTCTGAGGCCAGTGGTGGTCACTTGGCATTCGTAGCCCTCAGCGGGCTCAGACATAGGCTGGGCTCTTCTCTCCAGTCTCACCTGGACGGTGCTCGCCCTGCCTACCTGGCTTTCAGACTCAGAGCTTCTGCCCTCACATTAAATTAGTTTCATCCATTATTCATTTTTCTTGCTAAAAAAAAAAAAAAGTCCTCAATTTCTTATTCATTTTTGTGACCTTGATATCCCCAAGGAAGTACAAAATTAATGAGGACAAAAAGAAGAGTGAAAGGGCTTGATGGTGTTTAGGAGAGTTACTTTAAGTGGTTTCAGGGGTTGGTGGAATTTTATTTTTCCCCAAGCGTGTCTAATTTCAGTTCAAAATGGATTCTTTTCTAGAATGAAGGAAAGCCATCTCATATTGCTCCTGGCTTAGTGCTCTGAATAGGACTAGCATGGAAGGAGAAGACAGGTGAGACGGGTGAACAGAATTCTAAGTGGGCAAGGACACGGGAAGGTGAGTACAGAAGAAGAGGCTAAACTAACCAAGATGGGATGAAGAAAAAGAAACAATAAAATAGAGACGCTGCAGATCCCCAAGAGGCGGCTCTCACTGCTCCCTGCTAAGTCACACTCGGCATAAAGTGACAAATCTATTGAACAAATGCACTCTCCTTCTCACTCCCACCACTTTGCTTCAGATGCTTCATGCTTCTTTAGATGCCAAGGCCTTTATGTCAAGAGTCTCTGCGATGACCCTCCTTCCCCCAAGCTCCCTCTCTCACCACGCCAACTCCTACTCAGCCTTCAGACCGAGCACTTACGCTGGGCACAGGCCTTGGAGAAGCCTTCCAGTTCCCCCTTTGCTCTCATAGCATCCTTTTTTCTTTTTTTAATTAAATGCTATTGCAGTTTTTAGTTGTATTTCTGATCAATTCTTTAAAGTGTAGATCTTAAGCTCCATGATGGCACAGACAGGTGTGTTTTTCTCAACGCCACCGTACCAGAGCCCAGAACTAGCATAATGCCTGGCACATGGCAGGCATCCTGGGAGCATCTGCTAAATGAATGAAAAGCTTAAAATACTTGTTGGGCTTCAGGACTTGTTGGGCTTCTCATACATGACAGAGTCCCCACACCCAGAACAGCTCTCACTCACCTCTCTGGTCTCCTCCCTAAATTCCCTCCACAGGTTACCTCCACGCCTTGCTCACGATGTCCCCACCTTGGAATGCCTCCCCTTGTCCTGTCCCTCTTTCAGGACTAGCTGTGGCATCACCTCTTCTGAGAGTCTTCCTTCATCTCTGTCTCAGGCCGTTGCAGGCAATTTTTTACTGTGCTCTCCCAACAAGTTCTACCATGGGGCTTACCCCATTTAATGACTATCCTTTTTATTCATAGGGTTACTTATGTGCCTCTGCCATTTGATAAATTTCCTCGAAGTTAGGGATCTAGCTAACAGTCCTATATGTTGAAGTCATGTATATGTGTGTGTTTCTGTTTTATCTTGACAAAAAGACATGAATAGACTGCATATACTTGGTCTCTGCTGAATGAACACATTCAAAGGCCCTTTTGCAAACAGAAAAGATTAGCCTTGTTCATTTCATGAACTACAAGATGCTTAACGGAACTAAATTTGCTGTTACCAAGTCTTACATTGCCTCCTTGGTCATGACATGCTCAAATTACTGCAATCACACCAGTGCTGAAAAACAAAGCAAGAGCACCTTAGGGAAGTGTAAATACTCACAAGAAGCATCAGCATAAAAGATCCCATATAGATGATCAGGAAAAACAAGGAAATCATCGTTAGAGTAAGAATTCCACGAATCCACCAGTTTTTCCACCTGCAAAGAAAACGTTTATAAAGTTAGCACTTCATGTGTTCTTACAGTATTTTTCTTGTGTGGGTGGTTTCAGTATTGAGTTACCAGACTTAAGGATTTTCCCTAATTATACCTAAAGAATCCTTTAGAATAAAACAAAACAACAAAAACCCAACCAACCAAAGAGCATTTGTTCACTCACTGAAGAGCTAAATTAAATGTAAAGATCATGTTAGCCAAAGAAAAAGCCTGCTTTTTGTTATGAATGAGGATGAGTCATGAGACTAAGCAGTGAGGTGATTAACATGGACGTGTGCACATTTCCCAGGGTCATTCAGAAGGGAAGAAGGAGCCAGGTGCAAAAGTCCTCCGAAACGATGACCAATCCTTTGGGGGTACTCGATAAAAATAATATGATTCTAAGGTGGTTCAGACAGAGTGCGTGACCTTCCGATGAGGAAGAGGAAAGAGAGGCTGATGCAGAACTGAAACTGGAGAGCACAGCAATGTCAGTGAAAGGAAGAAGGCGCCAGCGAGGAGGTCGGTCACAGAGGACAAGGCCAAACTGAACGTCACGTCCTTCTATGGCTCAGTGTGCAGCCTGCTCTCCTTGGTTAGGGACAGGGCCCTTAGTAGAAAAGCATTTTCTTATTTGGGCCTTTGCTTGTTCCTTACAGCACAGCATCCCTGCTGGCACACCAGCCCGTTGCTGAGAACTGACCTCCCTCAATCCCCGGGCAGCTGTCAGTCAGGGTCTGGGTCCCCCACCCTTAAGAGCCTCCCACTTCATCCTCAGTGCGCCTTACAAATACTGTCTCTCTCTATGTGGCCATGTCGTGAGAAATGTCGGCAGCTGCTTTTTGACACGAGTAAAATGATTCTAATCACACCTGTGTGTGGATGATGATTTCTGAATCTAAAACTGCTGCCCTGCTTTATTCGTTCTACACGCATTTTACATTATACACACAGTAGTTTCTTCTTGAAGACTTCTGATTTCTATTGATTCGAATGATAGCATTTAAATTATGGTACAAGAGATTTGGATTCAACTTAAAGTATCACAACATATATGTACAGTATCTAAGCAAGGCTTTTAGTCTCCTTCCCATAAAAAAACAGTTGCCAATTTCATCTGTTTATTAAATATTGATTACATTCCCTGCTTCTAATCACCCTCCTATATAGTCCAGATACTTCTTAAATATCTCTTTTATTATGTAATTTCTGCACTCAAGATCTAAAATACCAACATTACATCCAAACTCTTTTATCTAGCTTCCAAGATTTTTCATGAAGTGGTCAAATTGTTCTTAGCTGACTTTATTTTCCTCTACTGTTCAACCGACTATGTAGACACATACATTTCTCACAGACTGTAAGCTCTGGGTCTGAACTGAAATGAGTATAGAGTTAAAAATGGTATAGATGAAAGGTTCCATTTAGTTTTAGAGATACAGCCCCCTATGGGCTAATGAATGGATTAGAGAACTGGGCTAGGTCACAGAGCTGGTCAGAGGTAAATAAAGGACATAACCTAGTCTCCTGATAGTAATCCTGACCTGCTTGCATGAAACCTAGACATGCTCTTAGCCCTTCTTTATAACTGATCCTCAGACTCAGAATTACCTAGAACCTCTCTAGTCAGGTGGACACTACGTAAGGGTTAGAAATCAGCCCCAGGGTAGATGTTTCTCCTGTCCATGTGTACCTCTGTTAGATGCCTGGCTTTGAACTTCAGAGAATGGTAGCTGCTGAGAACCAGAGATGTAAACAGGAAACATACTGTCTTCATATCACCCCAAAATTCCATGGCCACTCAAAACCAGAGTTCTCAAGGAACATATACTGTCTGGTTGTCTTTTACGTAGGTATTGCCGCATCTGAGAAAAATTCTCCCACTCCAATAAAATTAAAGACTTACTTCCCTTATTTATTTTAACTTAACTGACTCCCCAAATTCCCCAAGAATACCTAATACAAAGTTAAGCACATACTGAGACATAACATATATATCCACTGATACAGTAACCAAAAGTCATCTTTCTGGAGAGAAGCACTGAATTTAAAGCAGAGCACAATATGCAAAAAAAGAAAGAAAAGAAAAGAAAATCACTGTTACTAAAAACCAGAGGTCAGTCTGGTTCTGAATTCAAAATTCTCCAGTTCCTTTACCACACTTCCAGGATCACATTAGAGAATGCCTTAATTTTTAGTCCAAGTCATCACCTCACAGATTGTTTTGGAAAAAGGAGCTGAGAATCAGTAGAGGAGAAGTGCATTCAAGTTTCATGTCTTGAGGACCTATCTGAGCCAGAAATAAGATTTCCAAAAAAGTATGTAATTAAGCATATCCTTTAAAATGATTAAAGTGGTTACACACATTGTTCAAATACATTTGAATATGTACAATGACTTACTATTACTACCACTATTATGTGGCTTTTATTTCAAAAGTAATGGCAAGGTTTAAACACACACACACGCACACACACACACACACACACACAAGAAAAAACAAAACAAAAACAAAAACTAGTGCCAAAAGCATCATGAATCATCCAGAACCTGATTTGACAAGACAGTTCACATGAGCCACGAACTGGGACACAGAGGCACTCCTCAAAATTAAGCAAGAACGGGCCCTGACCGGGTAGCTCAGTTGATTAGAGCATCAACTTCATATGCCAAAGTATCAGGTTCGATCCCAGGTCCAGGCACATACAAGAATCAACCAATGAATGCATAGATGGGTGCAACAACAAGTCCATCTTTCTCTCCCTCTCTCTTTACAATCAATCAATCAATCAAATGTTTTTTTAAAATAAAAAATAAACAAAAACTTGGTGGCAAAGAAGGGGAGTTTTGAGAATGTCCATCTACCAGTGTTTGGAGAACATGCACAGGAAGTGTATAGGTTCAAGGAAGAAAGGAGGGAGGGAGGGGAGGAGGGAGGAAGGGAGGGAGGGAGGGAGGGAGGAAGGAGGAAGGAAAGGAGGGAAGGAAGGAAGATGGCATTACGGCTATACCTGGATGTGTCCTGGGCTTCTCAGCCTCAGAACCGTTATTGTTTTGTGCCAGATAATTATTTATTGTGAAGCACTGTTCTGTGTACTGTAGGGTGTTTAGCATCCTCCTTAGCCTCTACACACTAGGTGCTAGATGCGCCATCTCTCATTGTGACAACCAAAAAGGTCTCCAGACATTGCCAAACGTTTGCTGGGGAGGTGGGGGCAAAATCCAGGGCACTGCCCTGGATGAAACCCGCTAAGCCAGACTCATAGCTGAGGAAGAGCTTCAGTAAGGACAAAGCCAGACTAAGTGGCTCATGAATGCTCAGACACAGGTACAGAAACAGACTGGGACAACTTGCCAAGTGCCCGAAGATCTTTCAGGCTCCTTCCAATTTCAACAACTTAAGACTTTTTGACATTGTAGATTAAAGCCTCAAAAGTGAGCCTGAACCTCGACCAAACAATTTCACTTTTAAGATTTTATCCTAAGAAAATAATTACGGTCGCTAAATAAAAGTTATCTCTAGAGAAAAACGTTTAATGCAGAGCTGTTTTTGAGTGTGAGAATTTAGAAATCAGCTAAATGCCCAGCGACAGCTCTTTAGTTAAACTACAGTCATGCAAAGGAATATATCGTGCAGCCACTTAAAATATCTATGTATAGTTAAGGATATTTGTTCCTAATACCACAGAATGAAATGAAAACAGACAAGCAGAAAATAGTACAATGCTATTTTTACACACCACGCACACACACACAAACACACAAACACACACATGCAAAATATGTACAAGAGAAAAAAGCTTCAGCGTAAACAACACAATACTGCAAATATCAATGTCTTGGTGGGAGGATAATAGGGTGTTTCCCTGCAATTCATGAAAATTTCTTATGTAACTACTTTTTTAATCCTATGCATCCACCACTTCTAAATCATTGTAACACAGACTATTTGGGGTAGTATAGAGGCTAAAATGAATAAGATATAGATTTTGAAACATTCATGTAACTTTTATAGTGAAGTTTCATGAGACGATTGAAACTGGTCACATATCCTCTATTGTTCATTTAAAAATAACCAATTCTTGCCCTGGCTGGTTTGGCTCAGTGGATAGAGCATCAGCCTGTGGACTGAAGGGTTCTGGGTTTGATTCTGGTCAAGGGCACATGCCCGGGTTGCAGGCTCGATCACCAGTAGGGGGTGTGCAGGAGGCAGCCAATCAATGATTCTCTCTCATCATTGATGTTTCTATCGCTCTCTCCCTTTCTCTCTGAAATCAATAAAAATATTTTTTTAAAAAATTAAACAATTCTTTTATAAATAGAGCACAATGCCTAGGTTCAGAATGTGGTTCTATTGCTTACTAGCCACATGACCCTTGAGATATAAAATTTCCGTGCCTCAGTTTCCTCATTTATAAAATAGGTATATAAGTGTACCTGTGTTACAGGTTGACAATAAGCTAGTCAATACATGTATACAGTATATTCTCAATAAATATCAGCTGCTATTACTTGCTATTGTTGCTTTACATGGGGGGAGGGAGGAACCTTAATTGTTAAGAAATTATTATTGACACATAGGAATCTAGCATCATTCTTATATAAATCAATATAAGTTTCCAAATCTGAGATAGACCTGCTAAGGTTTTAAAGCAAAGGTACATCTGTCAATTAGGTCGTGAAAACAACTGGGATCAAGACTATTAAAATAATCATCATGCTTCAAATAACAGCAAAAATTTGTTCTATTGGTTAAAATAATTATGAAAACTTTTCTTTGAAACAATTTATTCTAATATGGTTATAGCCTAGAAACTAAAAACAGAAAAACTCATATTACATTAACTAGATATGACTAAACCATTTTTTTGTTGTTATTATAACCCATGGCTGGTAAAATCAATTTAGTAAGTTACATCCAAAATATTTTGTTCAATAACAGAATAGTATCAAACAGAAAAGAGGGACGTCACACAGTAATGGTAAAAATTGTTTCATAACATTTTTGTAGCAGTTAAAATATACATTTGTGTGTCTCTTGGGATGTGGAGTAAAATGTATCTCTTATTGTATGTCACAGTCAAAAACATGGAAAAACTGTTCCATACCAACATTAAGATTTCACATATTAATCTAAAGAAAAGCTTAGATTTATTTTGCTTTTATAAATTTTATAATTCATATTACTAAAGCATACAAAGGAGGGCAATATAAAATTAGGTAAAATTTGTTGGTGATTACACATTTTAAAATATAGCACAAATATAAAATGGCAAAAGGTTGCAAAGTTTTGGACAATAATTTAAAACTCAGTTTAAAAAATGAGCTATGTCCCTCTGGTACTTGAAGAACAGGAAACAAAGAATATACAATTTTCTTTATTAAATGTTCCCACACCAGAAAAGGCAACTTGATGTAGTAAATAGATCGCTGGCTTCAGAAATCTGACCAACTGGGATAAAAATCCCAGGTCCACATCTTCATAGCTCTGTAACCTTCACCAGGTAACCTCTCAGATTTGGTTTTCTCATCTATATTAATAAAAGGGTAATATGCTAATTAGACTGGATGTCTTCCGACATCATTCCAGACGTCCTTCCTGATAAAGCCGGTGCCAAAGGGAAGCCAGCCAGAGTCCTGGGTGCCTGTGGGCAGCCTGGGGGAAGCTGGCTGGGGTCCCAGGTGCCTGCCTGTGGCCCAGGTCCCGGATCTCGGAGGGAAGCCAGTGCCGGCAGCCGGGGGAAGGAATACCTACTCTTGCACGAATTTTTGTGCATTGGGCCTCTAGTAACTCATAAGATCTTAAGTATTAAATGAAGGATGAACATTAAGCATCTAGTACCATGTGTGCTTGACCAACAATGAAAAAGTATAAGCCTTCTCTCTCAGAGCTCCAAAGCTTAGAAATAGTGAAAATAGTACTACATGGGCCAGGATAACCCCACAACTTATCTTGTGCACCATCCAATCATACCTTGAAGATAAACCGGAGAGAGCTTTCTTGAGGATCTCAGGGGTTCTATCTGAGGATGGTGGAATTTCTGGAATATCAGAATCTGTTCTGGAATCCAAATCTCCATATCTGTCATCAATATCTGTTTCCTAAAATTAAAGAGAAAAGAAGATCACTTTGTTAAATGGGAAAAAAGCACACACTTGCTAATTATTTATTGCTCTGTGTGTCAAATCTCAGTTACATAACTTGAAACAAAGAAACAACTATTAACTTACCTTGACTATCCAAGCTCTCTTGTACTTCCTTGTTATTATCTGTGCTAAAATCTATCAATGTAATGTAAACAGAAGACAAAAAGAAACTCCTATATTGCCTAAAACATACATTTACCACAAGAATTAAATATTTATTCTCTTGATACTTAACTGGGAGAACACAGTGTTATTCCAGATAGATTCCAATAAGCTTTTTATTGATTAGAATCAAAACAACGAGTAATATCTGACACTGGCACAGCATTATATATCTACTAGAGGCCCGGTGCACGAAATTCATGCATGGGGGTGGGGATGTGTGTCCCTTAGCCCAGCCTGCACCCTCTCCAATCTGGGACCCCTCGAGGGATGTCCTACTGCCTGTTCAGGCCCAATCCCAATGTCCGGGCAGTCGGACATCTCTCTCACAATCCAGGACTGCTGGCTCCCAATCACTTGCCTGCCTGCCTGCCTGCCTGATTGCCCCTAACCGCTTCTGCCTGCCAGCCTGATCACCCCCTAACCACTCCCCTGCCAGCATGATCGACGCCTAACTGTTCCCCTGCTGGCCCGATTGCCCCTAGCTGCCCTCCCCTGCTGGCCTGGTCACCCCAAACTGCCCTCCCCTACAGGCATGGTCCCTCTCAACTGCCCTCCCCTGCTGGCCTGATCACCCATAACTGCCCTCCCCTGCCGGCCATCTTGTGGTGACCATCTTGTGTGTTGGAGTGATGGTCAATTTGCATATTACCTCTTTATTAGATAGGATAAAGTATATATAACTCGGTTTTGAAGTTGTTTGTTATGCTGTCATGTAACAGTCTCCACTCCTGCGTCCTCCCCTCTCCTACACCCCAACCCAAGCAATCTTCAGTAAAGAATGCTACGCATGCCTGCACTTTGGGAAGGTGGTTTACAGAGGGGATTGGGGCAACGGGGCTCATCTGAAGGAGAAGAATGAGAGGATTTGCAGGAGGTGAGTACAAGCAGATGGAGCATTGAGCAGAACACTGGGCCAGGAGTGATCCTAGGAATGAAAGCACCTGGGAATGCAGAACATTCAGGAATCTCAAACCAAACAGCCCTTATTAGCGCCAGTCTCAGCAGATGGCATCACCCCTTCAGACATTTTCTTTACCTATAGAATGGAAGCTTTTAATATAATGCCAAGGACTTACTGAAGTCAAAGAAGAGAGCTATTGCTATGATTGAAGCAAGTCTTCCAACTCCTCATTAAGTGACTTACCAAATAATATATTAGCCTTGGGGGACTATTTTCAGTTTTCATAAAGTAATAATAAAGTTTTGCTTACTAACGATAACATCCTTACCATACAATTATGAAATTAAATGATGTTATACCAAAACTGACAAATGAAACAGACATATCAAATTCCTACTGTGACACTGAGAGCCAGTTGGCCCCAAAGCAGCTTAAACAGAAAGAGATGTTGACTTTATAAACCGCCACATAAAGCGTTCCCTGAAAATGTCAGGGAACCTGCTGTGGGCCTGACATGCCAGCAGGTCTTTGACATCTAGAACAATGAAGCACATCTCTTTTTTTTGGTCTTTTCCCTGCTACTCTTTTTTTCACCTTCAATAACCCACAGTGCTGCAGGGGTGGTGTGAGTGGTAGTGGAGATGGTGACTAATGGAAATACCCCCATAAGGCAACACTACCATGTTTCAGAAAAAGCACTAGACTAGGAATCAAGGGTTGCCAGTACTAAGGCCACCTGTTCTCTACCCAGCAGAGTGGCAAAGGGCAAATCACTTACCCTTTACAAAAAGCTCAGCCTTTGTTTTCCTCATAAAATACAAGCATTGGGCCATAATTCAAATTGTGGAAACACTAACCCTTTCGGCAAGCCACTTCAGTCCACTTGTCAATGATGGTGATATGTCAAGGCCCTCCTCTCCACACCCTCAAGAAAGCTGTCCTGTTTTTACTTTTATTATTTAAGCTTCTGGGTTCTATTTCATATAACTGGAGGAACACAAAGTGAAAAACTTAAGATTTAACCAGGCTTCTTCATTTCGTACTAATAACTAAAGAATAAAAGATAATGCTTAAATAGTGGCCTTTTAGAGCAATTTTACTCAACTGTGGGAATTAGAAGCAGAGACTCTAATGTTTCTGCATTTCTTGTTTGGATCCTGTTACAGATGCCAGACTTGACAAGGAAAACAAGAGTGTGATTGAGGTAATGGGAAGAAGGAAGCAGCACTTTAATGCATGCTGAATGCATGCTAAACTTAACATGCTCAAGAGCACCAAGTTAGGAGTTTTTTTTCAAGTCCCAAATTTAAAGACAATAATCCTCCCCTTTCTATCTTTTTAAAAATATTTTTATTGATTTCAGAGAGGAAGAGAGAGAAAGAAACATGAATGATGAGAGAGAATCATTGATTGGCTGCCTCCTGCACGCCCCCTACTGGGGATCAAGCCCGCAACTTGGGCACGTGTCCTTGACCTGAATCAAATCCAGGACCCTTCAGTCTTTAGGCTGACATTCTCTCCCCTGAGCAAAACTGGCTAGGGCCCCTTTCCATCTAAAGCCTGTGTTCTCCCACTACCCACCAGGTGATGTACCCTCTTAGCTTCCCATCTTTCTCTACACCAGTGGTTCTCAACCTTGGCTGCACATTAGAATCACCCAGGAATCTTTTTAAAATCCTGATTTCTGGGCCTCATCCTCTGGAAATTCTGTTTCTTTGTTACTAATGTTGTGGCCCCAGTCCATAACAAAGAAACAGAATTTGAGAACCACTGCTCTACACTCAAGACTCCGCATAAACTGGGTCTCTAGCTCCCAACACACAATCTCCAGGTGGGTTTTTCCACTAGCATCACCTGAAATTCACATCAGCAAACTGACCTCTCTTTTTTCCATACCAAACCTGCTGCCCTTCTACATTTCCTACTCAGGAAGACACCACCACCAAACAGTTAACCAATTAACTCAGGTCAGGCACCTGACTATCAACTTAACAATTCCATCTCCTTTTGCCAAAACACATCCACGTAGCACCGGGCCTGTCATTAGTTTTCCCCCATGTCCATCCCCACCCATGGCTACTCTTCCTGAGCATCTGGTACCTCAGTACCTCTCTCTGGTACCTCAACACCTCATCCCCTACCCTCTTTACTTTATTTTCAATATAAACTGCACATTGAATCTTAACACTCCCCAACCTAAAACCAGAGGATACAATCAAACCACCTGACATTGTTTTTACTGTTGTTCACAATGGCACCCCTCTTCGATGACTCCCCAGTTTTCACACCATACTGTTCTCTCTCTTACATCCAGATATTTGTTCCATCTATAAAATACAAACTGTGCATTTTCTCTATTGCCCACATCCTGGTCCAAATCCTCCCTTACACATTTCTAAAACCTGGCTACTGCCCACTCATCCTCTGACCTTGGTTTCAAGGTCATGTCCTTTACAAATATCTTCCCGGACCCCCAGCTCTAGGTTAGCTGCTCTTCAACTGTGTTTCCACAATTTCCCTTATGTTTATCTATTACTCTATATTAAAAGTGTATGTTTGCTTGTCTATATTTTCCAGTAGTCCCCAAGCTTTGTGAGAAGAGGAAATACCATCCATTGGCCTCACTCTTAATCCCAAAAGGCCAGCAGAGGGCTTATACAGTGGCTGGCATTTATTAGGTAATACACAAATAGGTGACGAATGAATTGAGCTTGTCAATTCATGCTAACATTTAGGATTAAAATTAGAAGTTCTCCTTTGTTCTTGCTAGATGAATAGTCTTGAGCAAGTGCTTGGCTTGGGATCTCAGTTCCACCTATGTGTAATGAGGGCTTATTGATTTTTCAAAATATAAAATTATAAAGAAAGTATGTCTGGTAAATGAGGGTTGGAAGTTGAAGAAATAAAAGTTTCTTTATTTACCTTGTAAATCCAATTCCTAAGGAAAAGTGATTAGAAAAATAAGAGCAAAAGCACTTAAGAAGTATTGATTTACTTATTCGTCACATTACCCTAGATGTAGGTAAATAATCACCTCCATTTTATAGGTAAAAAAAATTGAGGCTTGCCCAGCTGGTGTGGCTCAGTGGTTGAGCATCAACCTATGAACCAGGAGGTTGTGGTTTGATTCCCAGTCAGGGCATATGCCTGGGTTGTGGGCTCCATCCCCAGTGTGGGGCATGCAGCAGACTGATGATGCTCTCTCATTGATGTTTCTAGCTCTCTCTCCCTCTCTTCCTCTATGAAATCAATAAAAATCTATATATTTTTAAAAATGAGGCTCTGAAAGATTAAGTAAAGTATCCAAGTTTACACAGCTCTAAGCAATGTAGCTGGAAGTTGAAATCATACAGGAGCATAATTAAAATGACAATTCTCTCCCAAATTGATCTACAGATTCAGTGCAGTCCCAATAAACATCTCAACAGGTGCTTTGTTTTATTTTTGTAGAAATGCACACACTGGTTCTAAAATTTATATGAAAATGCAAAGAGCCTAGAAGAGCTGAAACAGTCTGATAAAAAGATCAAAATGGAAGAACTTACACTACCTGTAATCAAGCTGTGGTATTGGCATAAAAGAAAAAAAAAAGATCAATGGAAAACAGACTAGAGTCCAGGAATAATCCCACACAAATATGGACCACTGATCTTCAACAAATTGAAAGGGTAATTCAACAGACTATGCTGAAACAATTGGATATCCATATGAGAAGGGGAAGAAAAACAGGAGAGAAAGAATTTTGATCCATACCTCACACCAATTACAAAAATTAATTCAAAATAGATCATAGGCATTTATATAAAATAGTAAAACTTCCATAAAATCTTTGTGATCTTGGATTAGGCAAAGATTTCTTAAATAAAACAACATAAAACAAAAAAAATTG